ACATTCATAGCATTATATTTCATGAAGAAGTTTTTCATATATTGTTGTATAAATTTTGGTGGATAACCATTCACTAATAGTATCATTTCAGTACTTAAACGTTCCATATCAAAGTCTTCAACAGTGGAACACATTCGAGCTGCTCGAACTAATGCATTGTTTAATATGTTCATATGAACATGTCGTGGATGATCTGATGAATACGGTAGAATATAAGGTTCAGAAGCTGATTTATGATAGATACAAGTTTTTAAATTGCCATTGTTATTTTCTATTGTAACATCGAGATAATCTAATGTTTGACTAATTGTAGTTGTAATTTTAATATTTGAATCTGTTTGAGTTGTTTCATCAAGTAATTTGAGAATTTCTTCTTTGCTTAAATTACTTGTCATAAATACATCATCAATATATCTACAAATATTTATAATCATAATTATGAAAGAGACAAGAAGTTTTCAAATTTGAAACTGACCGTCCATAAATACCATGATTTATGTTTTGATGTTGAATTAATTTTTGTTCCCATTCTAACATATAAATATTAGCTAATACCATAGTAAAAGGTGAACCCATAGCACCACCTTTAATTTGTCGATAATATTTATCTTTGTAAGCAAATGAATTTGTATCTAAAACAACACATGCTAATTGAATAACAGTACTTATTTTAAGAGTGCCAATTTTTCCATGGGTGGCATTTTTTTCACAAAATCGAGTTAAAGCAGCAATAGCACCATCACGTGGGATCATTGTATATAAATCAGTCACATCAAATACAATAAATAATGTTGTTGAATTAAGATAACCTTGTTGTTGATATTCTTTTAATTTTCGAACAACATCTATACCATTAATAAATGTAATATCTTTAGTCACATAATTATATATTGGAGTGAGAAGTTGGTCTAAAAAGCTTGATAGAAGTCTTGCTGGTGCATTGATTGATGCAACAATAGGTCGAACTGATATATCAGGCTTGGAAAGCAAAAAAAAAGCCAAAATTATATCTAATGAAAGCAATTATTTTACCTTATGAACTTTAAGATTGAAATAAATATGAGCCAATTCTAATTTGTTTATGTTAGGATACATTTTTTTATGCTGTTCTTTGGTAATATCCTTCCGCTCGAGTAAATGATCAAGTAACAATATTACTAAATGTAAATTATCAGCTAGTGGGCAAATACCACTCGTAATTTCTTGATAAGCATTGGTTTTATTCATATAGTTTTTAATTTTTTCTTCATATTCTTGTGCATCAATAAAAAAAAATAATTTAGATTTATCAGTTTGTCCAACGGCAATATTGGCTTTACGTAATTGTCGTTGCATTGATTTTATCATCTGACNTATATCTACAAGTATTTTTTATCATAATAAAAAAAAGGACAAGAAGTTCACAAATTAAAAATTTACCGTCCATAAATTCCATTATGTATTTTTTGATGTTGAATTAATTTTTGTTCCCATTCTAACATATAAATATTCGCTAACACCATAGTGAAAGGTGAACCCATAGCACCCCCTTTTATTTGACGATAATATTTTTTTTTATAAGCAAATGAATTGGTATCTAAAACAACACATGCTAATTGAATAATAGTACTTATTTTAAGAGTGCCAATTTTTCCATTGATGGCATTTTTTTCACAAAATCGAGTTAAAGCAGCAATTGCACCATCACGTGGAATCATTGTATATAAATCAGCGACATCAAATATCACAAATAGTGTTGTTGAAGTCAGATAACCTTGTTGTTGATATTCTTTTAATTTTCGAACAACATCTATACCATTAATAAATGTAATATCTTTCGTCGCATGATTATATATTGGAGTAAGAATTTGATCTAAAAAACTTGATATAAGTCTTGCGGGTGCATTAATTGAAGCAACAATAGGTCGAACAGATATATCAGGCTAGGAAAAAGAAACTTTAATTATATCTAATGAAATCAATTCTTTTACCTTATGAACTTTAAGATTAAAATAAATATGAGTCAATTCTAATTTTTTTATGTTCGGATACATTTGTTTACATTGTTCATAGGTAATATCCTTTCGGCCACGTAAATGATCAAGTAATAATATGACTAAATGTAAATTATCAGCTAGTGGGCAAATACCACTGGTAATTTCTTGATAAGCATTTGTTTTAGTCATATAATTCTTAATTTTTTCTTCATAATCTTGTGCATCAATAAAAAAAAATAATTTACTTTTATCAGTTTGTCCAACAGCAATATTTGCTCTATGTAATTGTCGTTGCATTGATTTTATCATACGACTTAAATATTGAGCATTTCTTGCAATTTTGTTTGGTATAGGTTTCATATAAAGTTGTTCAAGTAAAGTTCTAATGGCAAGGAAATATTCTTTCGCTCTTGCATCGGTAGTTGGAAAAGTGTAATCTGTAAGGTTTTTAACATTTTCATCATAAAGTCGATTATATTCTCGTTCAATAATTTTTTGAATTGGTTTATTCGAAAAGAAATGATTTTGACATGGTGGAATAAATTTCAAACCTTTATTGATGATCATTAATTGTTCATTAGATAATGGTATAATCGTATTGGCAAAATATAAACATAAAAACATATCAGTATGATTTCTCATAATTAATTTTGATTGGCTCCGACACCATCGCTGTTCTTGATATCGTCTTGTGGTGCCGGAGCTTCGTCGAAAAAAGATTTTAATCGTTGTTGTGAAACATAATCAGCACGTTCTATCATATGTTTTT